GCAGATTTTCTCCTCTTGCATAATTGGTAGTCCGAGAATACTGCTAAAAGTTGGTGAATAAAGAAAAAAATTCAAATTGCAAAGTAACCAATAGAAAAAATTGTAATATTAGTTTAAAAAATTGATGAAATTAAAATCCTATACGTAGTGAAAACTGAGTGCTGAAAGGAGACAAATACATGGGTAGAGTAAGCTAAATCCAGCTTTTAAAATGCAGGGACAGTGGACGTTTTCAAAGATACCGACATCAAGAAACGGAGATACAGATACGTTATTTAGAATCATGGTGCTTTAAACAAACCAGCAACTTTTAAAATAACTTCTGATTCTGGAAGGTTCTAGACACATTTTATCTTTTCCTTTTACATGTTTACGCAGTGCTGGGACTTTTTCCACACGCTATATTACTTTCAGACATCCTAGAATGATACCTGCTAAATGTTTTGAATCCTTCTGGTCATAAAGAAAAAATTTTCTTGAGTTCACTGATATTTATAGGATTCCAGATACTTATAGGATTCCAGGTTTTCAGTCTAAACCTTAGTACTAATTGTACCTGCATCTCCTTGAGTGATGATTTGAGTATGAAAAGTCTTCATTTTTCTTCTCCTCTTAAGCTGCATCAATATGACACAAAACCAATCAAATCCGTGTGAGGGAAAAAATGCACTCAAAATATATCAGGTCATACGTGCTGACTGGCTATATAGTTTTTCACTAGTTTCAATATCATATAACTTTGACTTAAGATTTTCTATAAAATATGAACACTGCTGGTTCTTTGCTTACCTGAGTTGTGACAATAAAAAATCACACATTGTGTTACTCAATGAAACATTCTAGAAGATAGCTGCTATCATATAGCTTTTATATACCTTTCTTATTCTTCCTCACAACTTGCTTTGCAATAATAAAAACAAATTTTATCTCCACTATTGCAAAGCAAGTTGTGAAGAAGAGTAAGAAAGGTATATAAACTTGGGCAAATCTCAAAATATCTTTGAGTCATAGCATCTTCATCAATAAAATAAGAATGACAAAAACCATGTCTACTGTACTAGTTTGTTGGATAATAAATGTCTTGGTGCTTTGTAAGATATTTTGAAATAGAAGTAATTACTGTAAATTATGAATAAGTTGACAAAGTCTCCAGCAGAAAGCAGACAATGGTTTTCATGGGCATTTCAGGACAGCCTTCTTTACAGGCTAGTCAAAGAAGGGATTTGTGGTTGAAATAGCTTGTCATATAGAGAAGCAAAAGAATCCATCTTTATTCTCTCAAAACTTCTTAGCTATAGATGCACCTCCTTATCACAAGCCCGTACCTTCTACAAATCATACTAACTCTTGCACCTACTTCCAAAATCTTCCAGTATCTGTTCCAACCCATCAACACACCCTTGTTTCCATAGCTGTCCCGGAAGAGCAAATCAGAAGCAATTTCTTCTTGAATTCTCCACTCTGGGCACCACCTGCACAGAGCTGGGTCACCTCTGCTTACAGGTGAGCCTTTCCAGGCCCAGGACTCCTGTCCTATCCTCCTTTCAGCATTCAAGTAAAATCTCACCTCCATTCCAGAGCCTGCTGAAACTTCAGGCATCACTGCCTCCCATACCTCTACTTAAAGACAGCATCTAAATGGCATGATCAGATTACATAAAGTATAGTCACAGATTCTAATTTAACTTTCAGTATTACCAAATATAATCCTATTGACTATTTCACACAGATATGTACTATATGCCCCAAATAACCTGTACTTTTTAGGAGAATTTTTTTAGGGAAAAGAGGAACCTACAAAGCTGTTTTAAGAAAGTATTTGTGGCCGGGCGCGGTGGCTCACGCCTGTAATCCCAGCACTTTGGGAGGCCGAGGCGGGCGGATCACAAGGTCAGGAGATTGAGACCACGGTGAAACCCCGTCTCTACTAAAAATACAAAAAATTAGCTGGGCACGGTGGCGGGCGCCTGTAGTCCCAGCTACTCAGGAGGCTGAGGCAGGAGAATGGCGTGAACCCGGGAGGCGGAGCTTGCAGTGAGCCGAGATCGCGCCACTGCACTCCAACCTGGGCGACAGAGCGAGACTCCGTCTCAAAAAAAAAAAAAAAAAAAAAAAAAAAAAAAAAAATATATATATATATATATATATATATATAAAAAGAAAGTATTTGTAATACAGTATTAATGAAAAAGCAGGATAAAATAATTTATTCACACTGTGCTGTTGACTACATAAAATATGCATCGAAAGACAACAAATACAACAAAGTCAAAATGATGCCTGAATGGAAGGATTACGAATTATTATAATTTTCTCTGTAATCTAAAATTTTCATTAGAGTATATACTATTCTTACAATCAGGAAAAAATAATCAAATTTCTGTCTTCTAAAGTTATACTACAATAAATGTAATAAATGCTGACTTTTTTTAAATACAGCTATCATGTTCTTATGAAATTCACTGATGTATTTCCACAGATATTTATTGAGGTTTGTGCCAGGCACTTTGCTATTCTCTGCATTAATAGCAAAAGAAGAAGCAGCTAACATGATATAATTATGAATTGTTTTGATTACTATATCACTTAATCTCTTCTCTGTAAGCACCATGAAGGCTAAGACTATGGCTATGCTATAATGGACTATGTGTGCTGTAAAGCAGATGTCTAAAAAGCTATCTGGGCCAGATGTGGTGCCTCACGTCTATAATCCTAGTGCTTTGGAAGGCCAAAGTGGGAGGATCGCTTGAATGCAGGAGGATCGCTTGAACCCAGGAGTTTTGAGAACAGCCTGGGCAACATAGTGAGACCCTGTCTTTACCAAAGGAAAAAAACTATTAAACAGGCATGACGGTGAGTGCCTGCAGTCCCAGCTACCTGGGCAGCAAGGCAGAAGGATTGCTTGAGCGCAAGTGCTCGAGGCTGCGGTGAGCTATGATTGTGCCATTGCACTCCAGCCTGGACGACAAAATGACAACCTGTCTCTAGAGAAAAAAAAAGGCTATTGGAGCTATACTCAATATAAAATGCTTCTTTTTCCCCTCAAATGAATATGCCTTGGAAACAGTTTTTAATAAGAGAGGACAGGATTTGCTCTCAGGGACCTGGGAAGTTTTTCCTAAAGAGTTAATGCTTCAGAATAGACTACAGGGAAAGCAGGCAAAGAGGAGGGACAAGCACTGTGGGCAGAGCATGTGCAAAAGCCCTGAAGCAGCAGGTGAGAGGCTGGAAGCAGCTGACTGTGGTACAGCCAGGCAGTGAAGACACACCTCTGAAGGAGGCTGGAAAGGGAGCAAAAGGCTAACTCCCCTCATCTTCTCTATAAGTATTAATGGTCTACCATGTGCCAGGTTCAGAGCTAGTCACTGGAGATACAACGATGAACACAGATAAAAACCCCTAACAGAGCTTGCTTACATTTTAATGAGGGTGGAGGGTAGGACAAAGACAATCACACAAATTAACGCATATTAGCGCTACAGAGAAAAATAAACCAGGGTAATAGGGACAGAGAGGGCCTGGATGAGCGTATGGCTATAATTTTGGGTGAGGTCTTGATGGTAAAATAATACTTGAGCAGAGACCTTGTATGGTTTTCTATTCTTGCTGTAATAAACACAATACCCACTTATCTCACAGTACTACAGATCAGAAGTCCAATGGGCTTGGTTGGTTTCTCTGTTCAAGTCTCATGGGCTAAAATCAAGGTACTGGCAGGGCTGTGTGACTGCAGAGGTTCTAGGTGATAACAGGTTCCTGCAATAAGATCCCTGCAGTTGTGAGACTGAGGCCCCCACTTTTTTTGCTGGCTGTTTCCAGCTCCTAAAAGCCGACTACATTCCTGGAATCATAAGCCCCTTTCTCCATCTTCAAGGCCAGTAACAGTTGCTCACGCCACTCCCTTGTCACATTTCTCTAACCTACTCTTCTGCTTTCCCCTTCCGCTTACAAGGACTCATGTGATTCCACTGGGCCCACCGGGATAAGCCAGGAAGATCTCCCTTATGTCAAGGTCCTTAACTTTAAACTCTTCCACAAAGTCCCTTCTGCATGTAAGGTAACATTTTCAGAGGTTCTGGGGATTATGGTGTGAACATTGTTGAAGATCCATTATTTCATTCACTACAGACCTGAATGGCAGGAGGGCAGGAGTCCTGAGTCTACCTGGGACGGGAGGAGGTTGGTCCAGGCAGATGGAAAAGTGAATAGTCACAGATTCTAATTTAACTTTCAGCATTACCATTGTGTGCCAAGAGTGATCCAGAGAGAGAACAGTTAGAGGGAAGGTCTGAGTGGTAGTGGGAAGAGGTGAGTGAAAGGAGAACCAACAGGATAAGCTGATGACTGGATGTGGAAAAATGTAAAAATATATGAAAATATTATGTAAAAGTACATAAAGCAAAAGGGAGAAAGTGAGAGAAGAATGAAATGTAATGGTGAGGTTTTTGGTCTGAGCAACTGCAAGGATGGTGATGCCACCATCGACTGGCTGGGGACATCTGCATCAACTAGTTTATGGTGGCAAGTAAGACCTCAGCACTGGCCATGCTAAGTTTGACATGCACATTAGACAGGATGTGGAGATGCTTCAGAGGACTGAGTTGACAAGTCTGGTCTTAACTAGACATATAAATTTGGGTGTCATTAGAGTGTGAATGAAGACTGGATCTGATCCCCTAGAAACAGAAGCCAAATAGGGGCCTTTAGATCATATAGAGTTTACGGTTTTATCATTTCAGCAATGAGAAGATTTTGTTTCATTTTAAATGTCTTTCTCTTCCAAATTAAACTTTTCTAACTCCTATACCTGTCTTTCAGATGACATAGTTTTCAGGTCTTGTACTAGACCTTCTAGAATAAAACACAGTCTGTCAATGTTCTCCCTAAGATGTTGAATCCAGGATTCAAGGAAATACTGGTATTCCCCAATTAATAAATGGATTGTGTCCCCAAAATCCCTTTTTCATATGGTTTAAAACTCAGCACAAATTTTCCCACAGAGGGCACCGCGAAGGGAGGAGCGGCAACATGGCGGCTTCGGGAGCTGGTGACCCTCTGGATGCTAAGCGTGGAGAGGCCCCGTTCGCTCAGCTTATCGACCCGACTCGGGAGAAGCAGACACCCGAGCAACTGCATTCCATGCCGCGGACGCAGCTTGCCCAGTGGCAGGAGGTCCTACAGCAGCGGCAGACCCGGAACATCGTGACCTGCCTAGGCATCGGGGCCCTGGTGTTAGCTATTTATGGTTACACCTTCTACTCGATTTCCCAGGAGCGTTTCCTAGATGAGCTAGAAGACGAGGCCAAAGTTGCCCGAGCCTGAGCTCTGGCAAGGGCGTCAGGATGCTAATCTGGATGGGCATTGATCATGTCCAACCTGCTGGAGCCCCTTCACATGGTGGATGATGACCCATGACCCTGTAGAAATTGACTCCTGCTCACAACATTGTTGGCCTTCTTACTAACCTTGGGCCATGATCGATCCCAAGAAACCAGGGACTTAAGCATTTGGCCACTGTCAAAAGAACAGAACTTTGCCAACTGCACACTTGCTATGTACAATGACTGAGCACTTTCTTGTAGTTTATTTCCTTGAGAGGTGTGCGTGCGACCGTGGCTTTTCCCAGTTTCTGACTTTGTGGTTTACCCCCTTCACCTTCCAGGAATGCGATTGTTATGAGGTTAGGCGTGGCAGCTCTGTGCAGTGTTTGAGCCTAAAGTGGGATAGATAGGGTGTCAAATTGAGAATAATAAACTGAGTCATTCTCCTGGAAAAAAAAAAAAAAATTCCCACAGAATCAGTATAAACGATAAAAGATAGGTTTAATGTCAGCCTACTAAAAACCTGTTTAGTCCCAAATATGCACAAATTACAATAATGATATCATTAATTTAACCTATAAGATTTGCAGTATAATGCAGTGGTTAGGAGTTCTAGTTCTTGAGTCAAACTGCCTGGATTTGAATATTGTGTCTTCCTCTGCTCTCTCTGGGCTCTGCTAATACTCTATGATTTGGAGCAAGTTGTTTAACCTGTACAACCTTCAGTTTCCTCACCTATAGCATGGAGTTTATAATGACACCTATCACATAGATGTGTTGCAAAGATCAAATGTAATTATCCATGCAAATCATTAAAACACTATCTAGTATTTAGCAAGAATCTAAACAATGCTACCTATTCATATTATTAAAACCATTGCTGGTGACTTCTTCGGCCCCCGCATTTGTGGACCAGAGAACATCACCCGAGAGCGCCGGTGCGACTTCCCTGGCCCCCCACACCTGAGGACCAGAGAACCTCGTCCGAGAGTGTATGCATATTTGCAATAAAAGACTGCCACTTTCTTATGTACTTTGGCCTCATGTTTAATTATTTAGCTCTCCTAAATTAAATTAAATTAAATTAAATTAAAACAGTTGGTGCCGAAACCTAACCCAGGAGGAGACCCTTCCTCAACATTCCCTAGGGGTCTAACGAACCTCCTTCCCAGCGAACCGGCTCCCAACCCAACCAGCCACGAACACCGAACAAGTGTTCCAGCCTCCCACTGGTGCCGCTCTGAGAATTTCTCCTTCGGTGAGTACTCCCCTTTGTTAACCATCTCCATCCGTTTCCGTGTCCTTGGCCTGGAGTCGTACGTACGCCCAAGGACGTAGCTACCCTGTGGCGCAGTGAGGTCTTCAACCCGGAGACGTCCGTCTTGAAGTTCCTCAATTCTCCGTTAGTGGCTCCAGGAGCCCCCTGTCTCTAGCAGCGGCAAAGGACGCTTTGCCACTGTGTGAGGTCGGTTTCCATTTCTGGTGGTTAAACAATGGGAACCTCACAATCGAAACCTCTCCACTGTGGCATGGCGGCAGTATAAATTAGACAACCAATCTCAATGGCCACCAGACGGCACACTTGACTATAACATTCTATTAGATCTCTCTAATTTCTGCCAGAGGCTTGGAAAGTGGTCAGAAATTATCTATGTCCAAGGCTTTTAGGACTTGAGCTCTCGTCCAGACCTGTGCGCCTGGTGTTAAATGGCCCAGGTCTTGTTAGCCTAAACCCCTAAACCCGGCCCTTGGCCCCCACCTCAGCAACTGAGGAGGACTCCACCTCCATTTCAGATGGGGCTGACGGCAGGCGACCTCCCTCCCAACTTTCCAACCCCCCTCCCTATGGACTTCCTACCGCCCCTCCCGACACTCCTCCCTCAGCCACTCCTCTTACCTCTCCCATTTCCGCCCACACTCGCTCCAAGACCGCGGTAGCGGCCCCCATTAGTCAGCCCTCTACCAGTCAGCCTGCCCCAACCCCCTCTACCAGTCAGCCTGTCTTAACCTACCCTACTGGTCAGTCTGTTCCAACCTCCCCTGCTAGTTTGTTGCCCCCTCCCCCACCCCGAGAAGTTGCTGGAGCCAAAGGCGTGGTTAGAGTCCACGTCCCCTTTTCCTTGGCTGACCTTTCCAAAACTGAAGAACGACTTGGCGACTTCTCAGCCAACCCCACCTAATATTCCAAAGAGTTTCGATACCTAGGCCAGAGCATATAACCTTACCTGGCATGACTTACATGTCATTCTTACTTCCACTCTTAACCCAGAGGAAAGAGAGTGCATTCTCGCAGCCGCCAGGCAACATGCAGATCAATGGCATTTAACCGACGCCACCGTCCTGTTAGGAGAGATGGCTGTCCCGTCCATAGAACCAGATTGAGATTACCAACCGCAGCAGCCTGGCCGCCGTAGGAAGGACATTATGATTCAGTGTCTCTTAGCCGGTATGCAGGCAGCCTCTAACAAAGTGGTCAACTTTGATAAATTAAAGGAAATTATCCAACACCCAGATGAGAACCCGGCTTCCTTCCTAAATCGCCTTACAGAGGCACTGGCCCAATTTACCCAGCTAGCCCACTTCCCCAGCTGGGGCAGCTGTCCTAGCCTCCTATTTTATCTCCCAGTCAGCCTCAGATATTCGAAAAAAGCTAAAAAAGGTTGAAGATGGGCCTCAAACCCCCATACAGGACTTAGTAAAATTGGCTTTTAAAGTTTTTAACTCCAGAGAAGAAGCAGCTGAGGCCGCAGAGCTAGACAAGGAGAAAAGAAGGGCTGTGCTTCAGGCGCAAGCTCTAGTGGCTGCCCTCCAACCAGCGTTGCCCACTCTGCCGGCAGGGAAGACACAGGGCAAGTCTCCCAAGGGCTCCTGCTATAAATGCGGAGACCCAGGACACTGGGCAAACCAGCATCCCCAGGCCAAGCCGGCCACTCCGTCTGGCCCATGCTTTAAGTGTGGCACAACTGGGCATTAGGAAAAAAGGTGTCCAAATCCTTGCCTGCCTACCATGCCGTGCCCAACCTGCCAACAGGAAGGACACTGGAAGTCTGATTGCCCCGCCAGCAGGGCAGGCATTGCGCCTCAACGTGGTGCCTCTCCTCAAGGGTCGGAAGGCTCCTTCCAGCTCCTACACCTGGACGACGACTGACGGTGCCCACACTCGGAGACCCCTGTCACCCTCGCTGAGCCTAGGGTAACTCTTCAGGTAGCGGGTAAGCCAATTTCTTTTCTCATCAATACGGAGGCTACCTATTCTGTTTTGTCAACCTATGGAGGTCCTAGCCAGCCATCCACTATCTCAGTAGTTAGGGTAGATGGTAAACCGTCTAACCCTCACCAGACCCCAATGTTAAATTACTGCCTGGACTATATGCATGCTTAGCCCACTCTTTCCTCATCATGCCCTCTTGTCCCACCCCCCTCTTGGGATGAGACATCTTAACCTAACTCAAAACATCTATTCCCCTTCCCTTTCTCCAGGTGGCCAGGTTCTACTCAAGGATCAACACCCTCCTCAAATTTTCCCGCTTCCTCACCATTCTTCATCTTAACTGACTTTTCCCACATAAACCCCATAGACACCCTCCTTCCCGACCCATCCCCCAACCAGTAGGTTTCCCAACTTTTTACTCTCATAGAAGACCTAGCTTGGCAGGGTGCCCTTTGTGATTTCGGCAATGTTTAACCTACCCTCTACACCTTTGTCATCATTATTATGGTTCACTCTAATTCCCCTAGTTACTCCTACTAATCCTAACTTTGTATGGAGATTCTAAACCTGGTCTACAGACAACCAGATACACTCAGTCATGCAGGGCACTGCAGATTGTCCCCCCCCCCTACCCAGGGTTGTCACTCTGCCCTCTCCCTAAATAAAATGTGGACTCATTAGGCCAGGATGAAGGACAGATACAGGGAAGGAGAGGCTGTAACCAGAAGGCAGTAGAAAGCCCAGACCTCCCCAAGGGCCTCTGCGGCACTCAGTCCCTGTTGAGTCAGAGATAGGGAGAAGCCAGGAGGTAGGGGAGTTGGTGAGGGGAGCAGCCTTGGTGAGCTGGAGGTGGAGAGACGGAGATGGAGATGGAGACAAAGAGATATAGACAGAGACAGAGAGAGGCAGAGACGGACAGAGACAGAGATGAAGAGATAGAGATGGAGAAAGACAGAGATGGGGAGAGACAGAGATGGAGAGAGACAGAGAGAGAGACAGAGGTGGAAAGAGACAAAGACAGAGATGGGGAGAGACAGAGATGAAGAGAGACAAAGTGAGACAGAGATGGAGAGAGACAGAGATAGAGAGAGACAGATGAGGAGAGACAGAGATGAAGAGAGACAGAGAGAGATAGATGAAGAGATACAGAGATGAACAGAGACAGAGATGAAGAGAGACAGAGTGAGACAGAGATTCCTTTTTGCTACTCTACGCCAAACTCTTCATGGTGTAATTGCACATAAGCTCCCAGCAGGACCCAGACGGCCCCTGTTGGAGGCTACTTTTGGTGTAACCAAACTCTATCTAAAACTCTTAACCATACCTCCATCACCCAGTCCCTTTGCGTTCCGGTATCTTCAGTGCCTAGCTTAACCCTATATAGCGAAGGAGAATTGTCTGAACTAGCTTCCCAGCTCAGCTCCAGCAATAACACCCAAAAGTGGGCTGTTTTTCTTCCCTTAATTATCGGGGTTTCCCTAGCTTCAACAATTTAACGCCCCCTTAACCCCTGGACCACCGGTATGGCTACTGCCTGTAGTACAGCAGATGCTTCCATTTCTAATTCCCATACTAATCCTCTGCCTTATGTTATGTCTTGCTCCCATTCTAATAAAATTTCTCCGAGCCAAGGTCCAAGAGATCACCCGAGTCACCTTCAACCAAATGCTCCTGCATCCCTACACCCAACTGCCAACTTCAGACCCTAACTACGCCCCTTAACAGCAGGAAGCAGCCAGACAGACCACGGCACCCTAAATTCTTATAATCAATAAGAGGTTGGACTGTTTGGGTGAAGGAAAAGGGACAAGATGGAGGAAGGTGAACAAGATGGAGCAGTCCCTGTTGTTTCCGGGTTCTTCTTCACAGATTTTCCCGCGCCTGGGAAAAGAACCAAATCAACTGAGCATGCGCAGAATGACGTCAAGCCGAGGACACCGAAATTCAAGAAGCCACTCCTACACACACGCCCCGAACTCCTCCCCTTCCAGCTCCCAGGCATAAAAGCCCGCTGCCGGCCGGAGCCGGGGTG